GAAAGGGTGAAAAGGCCAGGAGAGTGTTAATAAACCGTTTCATAATATATATTCTGAATATGACATCAGTTAGGGAATAGACATCTCCGCAGAGCAATCAGATTTTTGGATCTATAATCTAGAGAATACCAACTAAAATCTAAGAGATTGGTAGAGACAAGGTCTGGGACCCTCAACTTTCAGCAATCACATAATATGGCATACCTCTGTCCAGAAATCCTATTTTAACCTCTGAAGAAGAAAATGCTCCCGATTTCTAGCCCATGGGGACAGAACTAAACCATGCCCAGCAGCAATGACCTATGGAAGTGTTGGCAGAGAACCCAATTCTTTAAGTCCTGAAACGGTTTTATTCTAATGCTCCTGGATTTTCCTCTCCTTCACAGCCTGTTGAAGAGAGCTCATGCAGCCAGTTCCTTAGCCTTCCATGGACTCCGTGATTATTTCTAGAAGCAGTATAGAATGTGTCTGTGTGTGTAGGTAATTTCTCACCTTTCTCGTACTGATTTTCCACAGATAAAACAAGTCCATTTTCTTTTTCCACCATGGGTACATTCTATATGGCGCTTCAAATTCCCAGTATCATTAAACTGACGACCACATATGTCACATGGAAAAGGACCTAAAAAGGAGAAAGAAGTGTGCGTCTAAATCTAAGTTATAAACACAACATTAAATTTTAACAGGTACACTATAAATACATGCTTACCTCTGTGAATTACACTGAAGTTATTTATTTATAGAGTTATCTTCCCTCCTACATTGCTTGTTTATTGCTACCAGAGGCTGAAGGAGGTTTTTACAGCTTATACTGTCAAGCCTGTCTATAAAAACTTCTATACAGCACATATCCTAACTTTTTCTTGTGAATACAAGCTACACACTATCCACTCTGGTGAAAAATTATACCACTTACCTGATAATTTAAAAAAAATATTTGTGTATATCTGGTCTTACAATACACAGACTTAATTACTGGACCATAATTTAACTATCATCAGATAGTTAGTAGCTGTCCGGTAAATGTTTGCTAAATTGATCCTTGAATATGTTTCCCTTGGGAATTTTACTTTTTCGTTTAGTTAACAGATTACCTAATCCTTACTTCCAACCATTCCTGAAATACTTCTTAGGAGGTATAGAGAAAAATGAGAAATCTTTTAAACTAATCTTTGAAGGATAATAGAGAATATATCTTTCAGGCTAACCAAAATATAACAATGAAAATCAGAACATCTTCTATTTCAGCCACCTTTACAGGAGGACATCTGCAATAACTCGAGCTCATCAGCTCCATAGCTGTCTGAGTCCTTTTAGTGAAAGGGATTACTGTACATGACAAGGGACATCAATTTGTAAGTTCTGATACTCACATTTGTTTTTCTTTTCTCAAAACCATTTTATTGGGAGTTGATACAGATATCACATTATTCTATAGTTCATTCACATCAAACAGTATTGTATAATTGCTACCACATCAGTTTAAAAACATTCTTTTCCTTCCTAAACTCCTTGACATCAGCTCCCTTTCATCCCTAGCCCCCAGCCTCAACCCCAGAAACCCTATTCCACTTGCTGTCCCTATAGATCCATCAATCCTGGGGTTCATATACTGAAAAACAGAAAAAAGGTATAACCAAAATTCAAGAGGGTGACCCCAATGACATAACTCATCTAAGATAAACTACAAGATGAATTAACAAAAACAAAAAAATGCATATTTGTTTTTCTTGAACCCAAACCTACTCTCTAGATTTTTTTCATCCACTGGAAATACTTTAGAATATTTACTTATTAAATAATGTATTAAATTAATGTTAAAATTAGAAAAAAGTGGTGGAAGCAAGTATGTTAACAAATAATAAAATAAAATTGTATTTTGCTATAATATTTCTAAAATGTAGGATGTGAAGAACACATATAGTTTTACATTTTTATAAAAGAAACCTACCAAATCCCCAATTGAAGATGGGGTTTTTTGAGAACTAAAGTCCAAAAAAGTAATGAAAATCTCCTATGCAAAATGCTATCAAAAACAAGTCTCTGACTAGTTTTGGTAACTACAGAACATTTTGTTATGATTTTTTAATACACATATATATTCAACTTCTTATTGTGGATTGGGTGACAGTTAACAAAGCAGATCATTAGTTTTACATTCTACAATTCATACCCCTTTGTTTCAGCTCACTCACTGCAACCCCTGCAATGTAACACCACTTATCCCCCTTCCTCCCTGTTTCCTGTTTCCATTTTTCCTAACCTTTCTGAACTTTGTCCTTAGGTCAATGCTGCCCTTTTTGATCTCAAATGGTTGACTATTTAAGGTGTTCTTCACCAGAGTCATTGGTCCCCTTATAGACCTGTGTATTTGGCTGAAAAATGGGCCCAGGGTAAGTTCAGTTCCAGACCTACAGGGTGACTATAGGTCAGGGATTCCATCAGTCTCTACCTGACCAGTAAGCCTGGTTTCTTTCATGATTTTGATTCCCCCCACCCCCACATTTTCTTCCCACTCTCTCCAGGACCTTTTAATGTGATCTCTCTTTTAGAGTAGTGAGTAGTGGTAGCCAGACACCATCTAGTACAGACTGATTTTCACACGGTTCATTAGATCACTGGACTGATTTGTTTCCATGTGTCTTCGATTTTTATCACTCTTCTGTCCTCCAGAAAGGTAGAGACCAATAGTTACACTACGATGGCCATTCAGGAGCACTGAAGATCCTAGTTGCTACTCACAAAAGTAAGATGCAGAACATTACCTCTGAACCATGTTAGAGGCCATCTGACCTTGTTGTGCCTTGAAACTCTGGCCCTGAGCCCATAGGCTCAGTGACTCATCCTTCAAGATGTTTGGTTATTTCCAAGAAGTTTCATAGCGGTAGCCCCTGTGGGTGCTAGCCACTCATGGATATATGTGAACTAAAGGAAAATCGTTTCATGTGATGGCTTCTTGTAAATGCTGGTATGGAATACTATGAAAGAACAACTTAGTCAAGGCAATGCAGTGGGCTAATTAGTATTACTTGTTGCTTAAGAAAGGTTTGATAGAATTTGCGTTTTTGAGACTGTAACTCTTAATGAGAAAGCCTCACTTTCTCCTGTGGAGCACCTGGTGGTTGTGAATCCACCCGGCAACAATGTGGAAGAAACGCCTGGCACTCTACTCCCTTAAAAGGACCGCCATGGAACCTCTTAACTGACACACATGGGGTCAGGAGTTGAAACGGGTTTACTATCATCCAGCTAGCAAAAGAAAATTCTTCAAATACCACACATTGAATTTCAAATACACTAAGCTTATTGCACTTCCTGAAAATGAATTTTCCTAAAACACAAATGCTTCCTCACAAACATGTCCATAAACCAACTGTGAATAAACATACTTACTCATCTCAAGGATCTGCAACAAATCCAGTACTCTTGCCAAGTTCCATGACGACCCTCTCCTAAGCCACGATGCAGAGTTCACCAAGGTGGTTCAGTAGTAACAGGCTCCGCTAGCATTATGTGATCATCAATAATATCAACACGTGTTATGCATAGTTTTAGAAAAAGTAACTTGCTCACCCAGATGGAACTTTTCTTGATGCTTTAGTCGTGCAAACCGTGATTTGAAATGTTCTTCACAATAGGTACACTTGAAAGGTTTATCTTGAGAATGTAGAATCATATGTTCCTCCAGGTGTGGTCTTCGAGTAAAAGATTTCTTACAAATCTAAACAAGTGTACATACAAGATAAGAAAACACAAATTTACAATAAAAATATAAAGGGTAAGATGGGAAAATACACACACATATAAATTCAGCGGTCAAAGAAAAAATTTCTCCCACTAGAAATTTACCAGAAGTATCATCACTACAATAATTCTGTACTTGTACCAACAAGAAAAATACTTAGTAATGAAATAAACATTGTTTTCTAACTGTATAGAAAGTGCCTAGAAGAAATACAATTAGTAATTATCTTCAATAAGTACCACAAGTAATTGAATTTCCACTCCTTCAGCCTCTAATAGAACTACATAGTATTCTAACTTCCTTAATCTAGTCAGTACTTCTAATTCCATAAACTATATAGTTTAAATTCCTTATATGTTCCAAATAAAAACTTTTATTAAGAAAAACCTCACCACTATCAAGTCAGTGGTGACTCACAGCGACCCTCTCTGGGTTTCCGAAACTGCAACAGTTTAAGGAGTAAAAAGCCTAGTCTTTCTCCCACAGAGTTGCTGGTGCTTTTGAACTGCCAACCATGCGGATCATAGCCCACATGTAAGCACTACATAACTAGAGCTCCAATAATGGTCATATTTGACTAGAAATAGGCGTAAAAAACCACAAAAAATATTTTGATATGTTATCTCTTAAATGGTCATAAGGAAGATTTATATTTCTTTTTTTTTTAATTAATCAATTTATTGGGGCTCATACAATTCATCACAATACATAGATCAATTGTGTAAAGCACATCTATACATTTGTTGCCCTCATCATTCCCAAAATTCTCTTGCCTCTTGGGTTCCCGGAATCCGCTCATTTTCCTTCCCCCCCACCTTCCCTTCCTCCTCCCCTTTCCCCCATGCATATTTCTTAAAGAATTTTGACTGACATCAGATTAAAAGGGGTGGGGGGCGATTTCCAGTGAGTACTTCTAAGTCCATAACTATACATTTTAAATCACTTAGATATCATAAAAGCTTTATAATTGGTTATATATGATTAGGAATGAGAAACTACAGAAAATTTTTTTGAAATGTTATCTCTTAAAGTGATCACAGGCAAGATTAATACTTTTTAAAGAAATCTGGTAGCCAGAAGATTAATGTGGGCGGAACTACCGTAATCATGATAAACCATGTACTATCTATCAGGATCCTACTAAGAAGTTCATCGATTATTTTATTTAATTATCACAATTAACACATAATACACTTATGAGATGGATATAATTATTATTATAATAATTTTACAATTCAAGATGATAAAATTAACTAAAGTTAAATGATCCAAGAAGAAACCATTTTACAACCATTCAAAAATCAATAATTAACTTTGCCTTAGAAGTTTAAATGAGAAAAAAAAAGTTTGTTGCACATAAAATTATTGCCTGAGATGAAGACAAAATGTTACCTGGTGACTCTATGAATCATTATTTACCTACATACTGGAAAAGCAGTTTATGGATATGAAAAAGATTGAGATGCGTACAAATTCTTTGCTACACGTCCTATTGAAAAATGTCATTCGATTACCTTGTTTGACCAAGAGAATGGGGTAGAAGTGATATTGTGGGCTCTGGGACTTCTGAGGCTAACCCAGAATAAACTTTTCAGTTTCTACTAAGGATTCTTTTCATCTAGCTGCACGGCTAGAAGACAGCCCAACTAACCCCATGAAAGGGGCAAAACAGCAAGAATGACAAGTCCAGGCCATAGTTCCTGCTGAGCTCTTGAGCATCAGCCAGCACCAAATTGCCCAGCATGTGAGTCCATCCTCCAAATTGGATTATCCACCAGTTGTATAGCACTGAGTGACTTTAGAAAATACCATGTGAGGGGAAAAAGGAAAGAAAGAAAATACCATGTGGAACAGAAAAATTACCTAGCAAAATCCAGTCCCAAATTTGGCTATCTTTCCCACAAAACAGTGAATTAGAATGAAATGGTTATTTAAAGGCTATTGATTTTAAGGTGGTTTGTTATATAGCCAGAAACCAACGGAGAAAAATCCTAGCCGTTAACACCATGTTCAATATACTGGCATAGTCTAATTACAAAACTGTAAATACAGTGTTTACAATAAAAATAAAAAGTAGGACTTCCATTATCAAAGGCTTCTAAAAACTAACCTACAACAGGCTTACTTTACAAAAAAAGAAAGAAAAATCGGATAATTTTGTATATTAAAAAAAGATTAGAAAAGTTAGATCATATTATTTTAAAATCTAATTAACTTACTTTCTTAAAATGCATCCTTACATTTATTTTGGTTTTCTAATATAAAGAAAAATGTAAAGCTCTTACATCACATTTCCAACTTTCACTCTTAGTCTTCTTAATGGAAATAAATTCTTGTGCATTTTCAAGATGAAATCTATCAGAAGAAAAATCTATAGATTACTTTATTATTAGAAAAAATTATATTAAGTGACATATTTCATATGAATCTGTTCACAATCAATTAAAAGAATCATGCACTGATTCTTCTCTTAAAGGAAATAGGGACATAGGAATTCTTTAAGAATATACATCTAGTAATATTTTAAATGTGATAACAGATAATCTGCTATATAATAGACAACATTGAATATGAAACATTTGACCATGAAAAAGTGCCTAGAGTTTTAAAATCACGCATTCCTGAAAGCACATTTGGCAAAAGCCAAGGGTTATAGATTAAATTGTGTCCTTCAAAAATATAGGTGCTGAATTACAGGTTCCTAAATTTATTTGGTTTATTGTCACCTATTCAGGAAAAATTACTGAGTACCACTGGCAATTAAAAACTTTTGTACTATAACCCATAATTCAGGATAAAGTTTAGGTATCTGCTTTTGCAGCCCCCTGGATGATTCCAGCACCCACCAGGGGTGTACCACATACTTTGGGAAACACTGTTGTATATCCTATCCCCTAAACCTGGATTATAATTCCATTTGGGAAGGAGGAGTCTTTGTTAAATTAATGAGACAACACTAGTGTAGGCTTGTTTTAAGTCAATCTCTTTTCAAATATAAAAAAGATTGCTGTGTTTGTTAGGTGTCTTGGAGTCAGTTCTGACTTAGAGGGACCCCGTGCAGAACAGAACAAAACATCTCCTGGTCCTGGTCCCTTCTCATAAATGCTCTTATGTCTGAGTCCACTGTGGCAGTCACCTTGCCAACCCAGCTTGTTGAGGGTCTTCCTCTTTTTTGCTGCCCTTCTACTGGCGTCCTTCTCCAGGGATTGGTCTCTTCTGATAACATTCCCAAAGTATGTGAGACAAAGTCTCGTCATCCTTGCCACTAAGGAACATTCTGAGTACTTCCTACAGACAGACTTGTTTAGTGTTTTGGCAGGTGCACTGTCCTCTGAATATTCTTCCCCAGCACCACAATCCAAATGCATTGATTTTTTTTCTTTCTTTCCTTTTTTTGGTTTTCTTTATTCCATATCCAACTTACACATGCATAGATGACTTGAAAATTCCATGGTGTGGGTCAGGTGCACTTTGACTCTCAAAGGAAAAGGAACATCCTTACTTTTCAACACTTTAAAGAACTCTTGTGCAGCAGATTTACCCAATGCACTGTCACTTGATTTTTTATGGATCCCAGTAAGATGAAATATTTAACAACTTCAACCTTTTCTCCATTTATCATGATGCTACCTAATGCCTCGTTGGGAGAATTTTTGTTTTCTTTACATTGAGTTGTAATCTATACTGAAGGCTGCAATCCTTAATCTTCATCAGCAAGCAATGTTGTGTCATCTGCATATCTCCAGTTGTTAATAAGCCTTCCACCAATCTTGATCCTACATTCTTCTTCATATAAGCCAGATTCTCTGATTATTTTCTAGCATACAGACTGAGTAAATATAATGAGGATACAACCCTGATACATACTTTTTCTGACTTTAAATCAGGCAATATTCCCTTGTTCATTTCTGACTTTAAATCAGGCAATATTCCCTTGTTCAATCTGTACAACTGCCTGTTGATCCACATAAAGATTAGGCGAGCAATTCAAGAATGCCAGGGGATGAATCCCTGGCACAAAGCTGAAGGGGGCAGAGCTGCTAAGAGCCTATCATAGCATCTATGGGGGTGGATGGCAAAAGAATTAAGCCTGTCAGGGCTGAGAGGGTGGAGTTATCACTCAGATTGATTGGGAGAATGAGGTGGTGGATTTCAGAGGCTGTAAATCTTCACGGGAGCTGAAAATCTTATCTTTCTCCCAAGGATTGGCTAGTGGATTTGAATGGCTAAGCAAGTGCTTAGCAGCCCACTCCACATCACCAGGGCTCTTTAACAGGCCTGCTAGGCAGTACAAAACTCCCTGGCATAGGTGCCTTCACCCAGAACCCAGAGTGTGGCCAACACAAGAATCAGAAGGCGGGAGTATTGATGAGATGGCTCCAAAGAACAGAGGATCACTTTCAAACCTTGAGAGTTAAAGTAATTGATTCTGCTGGCTTTTGTACTTGCCTGGTGCCTGCTAAGAAGCCCTGGTGGCACTGTGGTTTAAGTGTTCTACTGCTAACCTAGAGGTTTGTGTTTCAAACTCACCAGTCCCTCCATGAGGGAATGATGAGCCAATCTGCTTCGATACAGACTGGCAGTCTCAGGAACCCTAGGGAGTTCCACCCTGTCCGATCTGGCCCTGTGACAGAATAGACTTGAGGGCAGCAGGGTTGATTTGATGCCAGTCTTCCTTATTTTTTCCTCCAATTACTCTCATTTGCAATGGGAATTACGTACCGTGTGCCTGTTAAACCATTGTACATTGGAAAAAGATAACTTGTATCTAGATTTCACATGTTGATGGATGAAAAGGAATTCTGTAGAGAATAGAAGATCCCTATATTTTTAGTCATATTTGATTCAGACGACTCAGAAGATGATATTTTGGACTTGGAAGTAAGTCTTTGGGGATATTGTGATGGGTGGATGTTTTAAATGTGGGAAGGACATGGCTCTTGAGGGGACAAAGGGTGAACACTTGGGGATTAAATTGTATATGCTATAAATTCCAACCTCTGTGCTTATAGTTAGAAGCCCTTGTGGTGTAGTGGGTTAAGCTTCAGGCTGCTAACCCAAATCTAACAGTTCTCTCCCATCTCAGGCAGTTCTGATCACTCAAAAGAGAGGACTCCATGGCAAGGAGTTGGGTTTTAACGATAGTTACCATTATACTTGGGAAGGGGGTAGGACTAATGTAGTGGGTGTTGTTAGGTAGACTGTTGTAGGTTCTGACTCATAGGGACTCTGCACAACAGGGCTAAACAGTGCCTGTGTCTGTAACAGCCTCACAATTGTTATGCCTAAGACCACTGCTGCAGCCACTATTTAAAATCATCTCATTGAGGGGCTTCCTCTTTTTCTGGCCCTCTGCTCTACCAAGGATAATGCTGTTCTCCAGGGACTAATCCTTCCTGTTAACATGTTCAAAGTATGTGAGATGAGATTTTACCATCCTCGCTCCAAGAAGCATCAGGACTGCATGTGTTCCAGATGTATTGGTTCTTATGACCAATACTTTGTCAACACCACCATTCACATGCATTAATTTTCCACCAGTCTTTCTTAGTCATTGCCTCACTATTGCATGTATATAATGTGATTGAAAATGCCATGATTTGGGGCAGGAACATCAGTCCTCAAAATGACATTTCTGCTCTTTAATATTTTTAAGAGGCCTTGGGCAGGAGATATGCCCACGTAATACATAAGTTACTTTCTTGACTGCTTACCTTCATGACTGTTGACTGTGGAGTCAATTACGATGAAGTAATTGATTTCATTATTTTCTCCATTTATCTTGATGGTGTCTGTGGGTCTAGTTGTGAAGTTTTTGTTTTCTTTACGTTGAGTTGTAATTCACATGGAAGGCTGTATCCTGTGATCTTCATCAGTAAGTACTTCAAGTCCTCTTCACTTTCAGCAAGCAGGAGTGTGACAGCGGTAGATCACGGGTTATTAATGAGCTGGCTTCCAATCTTGATGCTTATTCTTTTTCATACAGTACAGATTTTGAGATATTTTCTCAGTACACAGACTGGATAAGTATGATGAAAGGATACAACTTTGATACAGTTTTCCTGATTTTAAATCACTCTGTATCACCTTCTTCTATTACAGCTGCCTCTTAGCCTACAGGTTCCATAGTTGCATAAGGAAGTGTTTGGGAATTCACCTTCTTCGTTATGTTTTCCATAGTTTGTTATAATCACATACTCAAATGCCTTCGTACAATCAATAAAACACAACTAAGCACTTTTTCTGGTATTGTCTGCTTTCAGCCAAGAGTCATCTGATATCATCATTGATAGCCCTTCTTCTCTGTTCTCTTCTGAATGCAGTTTGACTTTCTGGCTACTCCTGTCTCCGGACTGCTGTGCCATTCTGTCTGTCAGTTTGTGCATTGCTGTGATGATGGAAGGTAGGCCCCCAGTAGTTTACATATCAGCAGGTGCACCCATGCTCTCAGTGGAGTGTCTGAACGAAGAGACTGGGAAGAAGGAGTAGTAGTCCACTTCCGAGGGGTTACCCAGGGAAAACCTGAGGACTGGCAGTGGGTTTGTGTAGGATATCTCTGCAAGCAATCTCTTTTGAGGTATAAAGTATATTAGGCAAGCAAGCTAGAGAAGCTGAATTGGGAAGAAAGATACCAAGCCACAAGAAGACTGTCGAGAAGAGAAGATCAAAACAGAAAATGACTTCCCTCCTGGGTAGTCAGAGAGAAGGCCTTCGCCTGGAGTTAGTGCCCGGACTTTAAACTTCCATCGCCTAAACTGTGAGGAAATACATTTCTGTTCGTTAAAGCCACCCACGTGTTTTATGTAGATTATAGGAGCAATAGGCAACTAGGACATCCAAACAGAAAACAGGCTAAGGACAATACTGTAACTTAAAGTTCTACATAATGGACTGCAGTTGCTATTTCCATATTTAAAAAGCTTCATCTCAAATGCAAAGATGGAAGATATGAACAAGTCAACGTTTACTATTCATTTTGTGATTTATAGCCTCAGCAAAATGTGAAACAGTAAAACTATTGAAGACAAGTCCTCCATAGATGTTTTTAGCTTACTACACATTTAAATTAAAAG